TAACAAATGGCTGATGTTGTTTATTTCTCCTTTAGAAAATTGAAAATTTTGAGAAAGCAGCTCAAAAGGTTGGAAGAGAAATTCTTAGTGGACAACAAAGTTCTAATAAGGTTAGTTGTGTTGAGATCCTTATCTCATTCTCATACACTTTATGATTTCTTTGTATTCTATCGTGTTGACCATATGAATGTCAACTAGAACGTATTCCGGCATTCTTCTGAACAATTAAAATTGCAGTTTGCTTGATAATTTTACCTATGCTTCCAAAATGCTATTAGGAGTTCTACTGATTTTGCTCATGCTTGGCCCTCTATCTCTGTATTCAATGATCTTCTGTCCATCTTTCGACACTTACAGGTGTCAATTTTGTTGTAATGTGTTTTCATATTTGTTTTCGCGATGAACACGACACATTTACATTTACATTTACTTTTACTTTTATTAGAAAGTAAATGTAAATTTACATGTGTACATTTACATTTACTTTCACGATGGACACGATGTAAATGTAAATGTGCACGTGTTCATCGTGAAAATCGTGAAACTAAATGCAAATTTACACGTGAAAGTAAATGTAAATGTAAATTTACACGTGTACATTTACATCGTGCTCATCACAATTTAAAATTAGTGTTTGATTTGAACTGAATTTATAAATTATTTTCTACCTAAACGGAGCTTTTTGGAAAAAAAAAATCGAAGAGGACGCGATTCATTTGTCACAAAATTAAAAGACAATACAATAAAATAAACAAAAAAAAAACTTTATTGATGTGTCTTCATTCATAACTACACTTCGTACGGTGAAAACATCTCTCACTCCAGTAACTTTCAGAAACTAAACATCGTGTTCATTTTCTAGGATCAAAATCGAAAGAAAAAGTTCAAGATTTGTAATATAAGAAAAACAAGAATCATGGTTCAATGACAGTACTCCGGCGGCACAATGGGCAGGTTTGACTAATATCCAACCATGTTTTGATGCATTTGAAGTGAAATCCGTGGTTGAATGCCGGAAGACACTGGAACAATTCTTGGTCTTTGAATTCAGATAGACAGATAGAGCATTCATGATCTCTACCTTCTTGTTCGATGTAAATATCGACGACTATTTCATCCATGCTCCCTTTTGTCATCTGGGATCGAGTTGAAGTTGGTGATGATGGTGGCGATGGCGGTGGTTGACCATTTACGACTGGCAGCTCATTTTGTTCCGATTCTGCATATCCATTCCCCCTCTTTTTCAACAAATATTGAATCAACAAAAATATCACAGTTGAGGTGAAAACAAATGGTAAAAGGTACAAAATATCAGGCATCTTTAAGGAAGACGATGAAGAAGGGAGACGGAAAGATTAGAGCAGACAAAAAATTGCAATGCACAGTGGTATTTATATACTAGTTTGTGCGAGTCTCTACAAGGAAATAAATAGTAATACTCGTTTTCTATAGTTTAATTCAACGCTCTTAGTGATTAACGGTTTCGTTATATATGAATTCCTTTTTAATCATTAAAAAGTTAATAATTAATGTGGGATCTTCTTTAGATACTAAAAAATGGCTGATGTTGTTTATTTCTCCTTTAGAAAATTGAAAATTTTGAGAAAGCAGCTCAAAAGGTTGGAAGAGGAATTCTTAGTGGACAGGAAAGTGCTAATAAGGTCAGTTATGTTGAGATCCTTGTCTCATTCTCATACAATTTATGATTTCTTTGTATTCTATCGTGTTGACCATATGAGTGTCATCTAGAATGTATTCCGGCGTTCTTTTCAACAATCAAAATTGTAGTTTGCTCGATAATTTTACCTATGCTTCCAAAAGGTTATCAGGAGTTTTACTGATTTTGCTCACGCTTGGCCCTCTATCTCTGTATT